CTCTCTCTCGTTAGATACAGTGTCGCACTCACTCGCTCAGTCTCGCGATCGTGCGCGTCTCAGTCGCGCTGTTGCTGCCACTCCTCACACTCGCGCTCCTGTTACGGAACCGCCGCCGCCGCTGCTGCTGTCTCGGAGCCGGCAGTAGCTACGATGCGCTGCCCGACAGTGACACAGCAAATCTGGAGCGTAACCGGCGGAGACGGCTGGAGCGTCGCCGCCGCAGATCAATAGATATATTGGCACGCTGCCGCGCACGCGCAGTGGGTCCCGCGTCGCCGCCTGGCTTCAGTTATAGGTAAGCACACTGGCGGTCTCTTTCGCAACAGGAAACAGTATTCACAGACAGTAGAGAGAGAGAGTAGGGAGCGGGATGGGGGCGGGATGGGATGTGCAAATGAAGGTGAGGTCGAAGAGTTGCCAGGTAATAGGGAGGATTTATGTGGGAAATAAATAACTAGTAGGGGCAGAATGTGCGAGGGGAGGTTAGGCAGATGGTGCTTAATAACTGGGGAATTTCACAGTTGACAACTGACCATCTATTGTCGATCACGGGGTACGATATTTCCCACAAAATAAGAACGTTTAGTAACGCTTTCATCATTTTTTTGCCGCTATTACACCCTGACGTGCTTTCTGATTTGTGACAGGTACACACACTGACATATAACCAGAGGAAGACGATGCTGAGCAAGGGAGAACAAGGGGGGACCTATTATATCAGGAGTCTATCAATATTGATAGACTCCCGATTATATCCTACTAATACAACATATAACACGTTCATGAACACTAGGTAGAAAAACAATGGCGGCAATTGCACAGTAGCCGAAACTGCAGCCGAACAGGCAGGTGACGTGAATAATTCCGTACGCTCAATAGCTCGACATTCCCTTTACAAGCAGCCGACAAATTGTTGCCCGGAGAAAAAACGTATATGAAAACAACGCGCAAAACACCGTTCTCGCCTCACCTCTTCAATTACCGTATAGCCTCTTGTAATGGAAACTCACGTATACGAGAGACTTTGCCGATCCGTTCGTGACGAAATTACAAGTGGAACGAGTAATTTTTAATTTTTAACATCACACCCACGGACGTATATACATGCACCCATGCGTTCACAGTAGAATGTGTCCACGTGACACGTCCGCTCTCA